GAGTGTCTGTGACGAAGTGCCCTTTGCCACTTGGTCCTGGAGAGGCCTACTTGCCAGCCTCCTCCCCTGTGACTATGACTCTTTCATGTATCTGGCTTTAAAACCCCTAGTCTACCTTCAGACAGACTATTTATGTGGGCTGCTTTATTTATCCTATGTTTTAGTCACCCTGTACCCATTATAGGTGCAGGGTGTGTGTAATGTAATTGTTTATAGTGTGTATGTGTGTGTGTACTGTGTAATGTATTGCCTGCTCTCTTGTATTGCTGAGGTTTGCTACCAACTAGGTGGGTTTGGCTATGGAGCTTGTCTAGTGCCCTCTGTTGTTAGCAACAGCAATATGCACTACCTGAATTGCAAGACTGGTTCATTTGCATATTCGGGTAGATTTGCATATTACTAATTCTGCAGGCAGGTGAGATATTTACTGTTAAATATTGTCTTCCCCCACCCCTTTAAAAATGTGCCATTGTGTTGTGATAAGTCACTGTGTGTTTCTTGATATGGTTTGACTGTTTGTGATTTTATTGAGGTTTCACAACAATGTTATTGTGGTGACTGTATTGGCTGGTCCCAAGGGAATAAAGGTTTTGGCAGTTCTTCTTGATCCCTCTAAATGTAGCCTTGTCTCGTTATTGGAGGGAGCTGTTATAATCACACTGGGGATTGCTATGCTCTGCATGCTCCCCTGAGCTTGAGTCACTTAGCTCTTTTAAGAGCTTGTTCCTGACACGCTCTCCTTGGAGGAGGGATCTTCACCACATAGTCCTGGATGCTGGAGGTTCATACAGGGTGGAAGGAAGGGTTCTTTCCCACACAGTCCTGGAGGACAGAAGCTGATCCAGGGTGGAAGGAAGACGACGAGACTCCAGTCAAGATACGGCGGTTGCGGAGTCTGCGGTGGTTGCGGTGTCTGCTGCAGCGCTTGGTGTCCTCAGGAAGCTCTAGGAGCATCCGTCAACGGAGGGTACTCGGTCGGAGTACAGGGAGCTCCGTTACATTGGTGGCAGCGGTGGGATGGAGTCCTAGTGCGAGGAGAAGCAGCTCGGAGACACTGGTATCGTATGAGAGGTTATTGAGGGCAACGCTAGCCACTGTGCAGTGTCCCTAACTACAGCAGCATGGAGCAGGGATGGATAGAGCCCTGCGAAGAGCACCTCAATATGATACATCGCTACGAGGACAACGCTTACATTGAGGAGGTAAAGAGGCGGTTGGTCTGCTATGGCCCAGACCTTTCGAACGAGGTGGTCCACCAAGTAATGTGCCAGTTGAGTGCTGAGAACAGTGCGGCAATGGCCTTTGAGCGACAACTGTGGAGGTTGAGGATATGGACACCTAGTCTCCAGCGGCAGTGCAAGTTACAGGGAGCCGAAGGTGTCGTCCTTCCTCCCCAGCAGCAGTGCAAGTTACAGGGAGCCGAAGGTGTCGTCCTAACTCCCCAGCGGCAGTGCAAGTTACAGGGAGCCGAAGGTGTCGTCCTAACTCCCCAGCGGCAGTGCAAGTTACAGGGAGTCGAAGGTGTCGTCCTAACTCCCCAGCGGCAGTGCAAGTTACAGGGAGCCGAAGGTGTCGTCCTTCCTCCCCAGCGGCAGTGTGAATTCCAGGGAGCCAAAGGTGTCGTCCTTCCTCCCCAGCAGCAGTGTGTCCTACAGGGAGCAGAGACAGTTGGTCTCTCTCTCTCTCCAGCAGCAGGACAATGTTATGGGAGTGGAGACAGGCAGTCTCCCTCTCCAGCGGCAGCCTGTGTTTCAGGGAGAGGAGCACAGCACCCTATCTCCCCAGCGGCAGCTTACCCTACCAAGGGGAGACACCAATCTCCCAGATGGCGCAGAAGGGACCGTAGTCTCTGTGCCTGACCTACAGGGATGCTGGACAGCCTGTCCAGATCCCCAACTACCCTCACAGGGACAACAGGAGGAGGGGGTAAGTACGAATTCCCCTCCCCAGCTAACCCCTAACTCGGCCTCAGGGTTAACAGGGGAGATGTTAACCCCCACTGACCCCCACGTTCCCCTGGCTACTGAGCCGGACTATGTCCCAAGCCCCCCAGCGGAAGAGCTGGCAGCTGGGCAGAGTGCAGTCGGCCTCTGCCCTCCCTTTGTCCCTTGTCCAGAGCCTGATGTCCTGCAGGCTATACCAGCAGAAGAGCTGGCATCAGGGCAGACTGCCGCTGGCCTCTGCCCTACCGATCCCCTTGTCACAGGACTGGCCTGCACCCCCCTCCTGCCAGCAGAAGCGCTGACATCAGGGCAGAGCGCCGCTGGCCTCTGCCCCTCAAGTCCCCACAGCGTGTTGCCCCATCACCTCAGAGGAATACCCAGGTGCAGTCACTGTGTGCTATGGGTGGGCTGCTCTAATAACTGTTTGTTGTGGGTGGGCTACTCTGGCACTTGCTTATGGTTGGTGGGTGACTCGACTAACTTAGGCACTGACCGACAGAAAGTCAGGTGCCTGGTTAGTCTTCCCCCCGAAGGGGAGATATGTGACGAAGTGCCCTTCGCCACTTGGTCCTGGAGAGGCCTTCTTGCCAGTCTCGTCCCCTGTGACTATGACTCTTTCATCTATCTGGCTTTAAAGCCCCTAGTCTACCTTCAGACAGACTATTTATGTAGGCTGCTTTATTTATCCTATGTTTTAGTCACCCTGTACCCATTATAGGTGCAGGGTGTGTGTAATGTAATTGTTTATAGTGTGTGTGTGTGTGTACTGTATTGCCTGCTCTCTTGTATTACTGAGGTTTGCTACCAACTAGGTGGGTTTGGCTATGGAGCTGGTCTAGTGCCCTCTGTTGGTAGCAACAGCAATATGCACTACCTGAATTGCAAGACTGGTCATTTGCATATTCGGGTAGATTTGCATATTGCTAATTCTGCAGGCAGGTGAGATATTTACTGTTAAATATTGTCTCCACCCACCCCTTTAAAAATGTGCCATTGTGTTGTGATAAGTCACTGTGTGTTTCTTGATATGGTTTGACTGTTTGTGATTTTATTGAGGTTTCACAACAATGTTATTGTGGTGACTGTATTGCTGGTCCCAAGGGAATAAAGGTTTTGACAGTTCTTCTTGATCCCACTAAATGTAGCCTTGTCTCGTTATTGGAGGGAGCTGTTATGATCACACTGGGGATTGCTATGCTCTGCATGCTCCCCTGAGCTTGAGTCACTTAGCTCTTTTAAGAGCTTGTTCTTGACACGCTCTCCTTGGAGGAGGGGTCTTCACCACACAGTCCTGGATGCTGGAGGTTCATACAGGGTGGAAGGAAGAGTTCTTTCCCACACAGTCCTGGAGGACTGAAGCTGATCCAGGGTGGAAGGAAGACAGTGAGACTCCAGTCAAGATACGGCGGTTGCGGAGTCTGCGGTGGTTGTGGTGTCTGCTGCAGCGCTTGGAGTCCTCAGGAAGCGCTAGGAGCATCCATCAACGGAGGGTACTCAGTCGGAGTACAAGGAGCTCCGTTACAGTGTCGAACCCAGAAGTGTTACTCCATGACAGGACCCCCACCTAAGGAGCACTCTCCGGGTGCTATTACCTCGGTTTATGAGGGTATCTCCTGTGAAAGGCAGTAATCAACTTCGTTGCATGTATTTCAGAGGAATTCTCCCATGTGTTATCTTCTTCTCTATAACCCTTGCATTTAATAAGGTATTGTAAGTTACCTCTATGAAGTCTGGAGTCAAGAATTTTCTCTATTTCATATTTCAATTCTCCTTGTACTTCAATGGGGTCAGGCTTCCACAATTGCTCCCTATGGAAGGGATCCGGGAGAAAAGACTTTAGGAGTGAAACATGGAAAACAGGATGCAGTTTAGTTGGAGATATTCTAGAGAGTTTTACAGAAGCTTCAACTGTCTAAGAGTTGTGCTTTTCTACTGTTACAGGTAAGATTCAAAGGTTACTGATTGCACAAGGTTTGAATTCCTTTTGGTAATTATAAGGCATTTGATTTGATTAAGCTAGTTACTTGCTATTGATTGCTGGTTAATTAGCTATTGTTTGCAAATAAGCAGAGGCCTACCCAGGTGTTAAACATTCCTAGTGGGTGGTTGTTACGATTGCCCCCGGTCTAGCAGGGGGGTTGATCGCTTGGAGGTCCTGGTTCCCGCTGTAGAGAGTCGAACGGAGGTCCTTCGGTAATAAGCTGCAAGTGTAGAATGTCCCAAACACGGTATAAGCATCAATATCCCGGATCCCTACAACATGAGTCGAGGCTGCAAGTTGAGGGTCAAAACGAACTGGCTTTACTGGCACACAAACATGGCAATTTATGCGATTCCTCAGGTCCACTGTCTGACCCCTTTTCGGGGCAGACTAAGGCTGTCCAGACTGGCAAATTTACGCTGGGCTGAGGTCAGTTTGCCGGGATAACCCGTCGGCTTTGCCATTCTGCTTCCCGGCTCGGTAGGTGATTGTAAAATTAAACGGTTGCAAAGATAAGCTCCAGTGTAACAATCTGCCATTATCCCCAGTGACCCGGTTGAGCCACACCAACGCGTTATGGTCTGTAACCAGAGTGAACTCTTGTCCATACAAATAGGGGGTTAACTTCTTTAATGCCCACACCAGGGCCAAACACTCCTTTTCTACCGCGGCATAGCTGACTTCGCGTGGTAGAAGTTTCCGACTGATGTAGGCAATCGGGTGCTCTTTCCCATCATCTCCTACTTGGCTGAGGACAGCTCCCAGCCCGAACATGGAAGCGTCTGTATGAACAATAAAACGTCGATTAGGGGCTGGGGCAGCCAAGACAGGAGCATTAATCAAAGCAGTTTTGAGCGCTTGGAAAGCAGTTTCACAGTGGGGAGACCACAGGACCTGTCGGGGAAGGTTTTTCTTTGTCAGGTCGGTCAGAGGTTTGGCAATAGCGCTATATTCGGGTACAAGTCTCCTGTAGTACCCGGCGGTACCCAGGAAGGCTAGCACTTGGGTCTTAGTGTGTGGGGTGGGCCAGTTTGTGACTGCCTCTATCTTAGCCGGCTCCGGTCGCTGGTTCCCACATCCTACCCGGTGGCCCAGGTACTGTACCTCAGCCATCCCAAAGTGGCATTTCTCTGGCTTCAGGGTCAGGCCCGCGGCCCGAATCTGATCCAGGACTATTCCTACATGAGCTAAGTGTTCCTCCCAGGACTCACTATGGATCGCTATGTCGTCCAAGTATGCGCAGGCAAATTCCTGGAAGCCATCAAGGAGTCTGTCCACCAAGTGCTGGAATGTGGCGGGGGCATTCTTCATCCCGAACGTCATGACCTTAAAGTGGTACAAACCGAACGGGGTGACGAATGCCGATTTGGGGACAGTCTCCCTGGCCAGAGGGATTTGCCAATAACCTTTACAGAGGTCAATGGTAGTTAGGTAGTTCCCCCTGGCTATGCGATCCAGCAGCTCATCCACTCTGGGCATGGGATAAGCATCGGTGACGGTCTTGTCATTGAGTTTCCGATAGTCCACACAGAATCTGGTAGTACCGTCTTTCTTGGGTACCAGAACCACTGGGGATGCCCAGGGACTATCGGAAGCTTCAATGACCCCTAGCCGGAGCATCTCATCTATTTCCTTTTTCATGCCTGCCCGCACTGCCTCCGGAATTCGGTAGGGGGCCTGTCTTAAAGGGTTTTGCCCGGGGGTATCTACTTGGTGGGTGGCCAGATCAGTGCACCCTGGTTCCTGAGAGAACATGGCTTGTTTCTCTCGGAGCAGTTGGTGTAGCTGCTCCCTCTCTACTGGGTTAAGTCTGTCCCCGATCTGTACTTGGCTCACTACTTCAGACGGGGAGTTGGGGGTCAATAAGTCGGGTATGGGGAGACTATCTGCATCCTCAAACGCAGGACTACATATGGCTGACACCTCCTCTGGCCTCTCTAGGTATTCTTTCAGCATATTCACGTGAAAGATCTTCCGTAGGTTCTCATCGTGACAGCTGGCAATCACATAGGTAGTGTCCCCCCTCTTCTCCACTATCTGGTAAGGCCCCTGCCAGGCTGCTTGCAGCTTGTCTGCTTTAACTGGTTTTAGTACCATAACCTTCTGTCCTATACAGAAGCTCCTCCGCCGTGCCCCCCGGTCGTACCAGATTTTCTGTCACTCCTGGGCCGCCTGGAGGTTGGCCCGGACTGACTTAGCCAACTGCTCCATACGGTCCCGCAGCTCCAGCACGTATGGCACGATGGGGACCCCGGCGTTCTCTGTCTCTCCCTCCCAGTGCTCACGGATAAGGTTCAGGGGGCCCCGTACCTTACGACCGTACAGGGGCACCTCCCGGTAAGCAAACAGGAGATGCGGCAGGAAACATTCCCAGTCTCTATACTCCTGCGTGAAGGTTTTTAACATTTGTTTGAGGGTTCCATTGAACCTCTCACATAGCCCATTGGTCTGAGGGTGATACGGGGAGCTGAGGAGGGATTTTATCTTGCAGACATGCCATAGCTGCTGGGTCAGCTCTGCCGTGAACTGAGCCCCTCTGTCGGATAGGATCTCCCGAGGGAATCCTACCCGAGAGAATACCTGCACTAACGCCTTAGCCACAGTGTCTGCCTGGATATTAGATAAAGCCACGACTTCCGGGAAGTGGGTAGCATAGTCCACATTGGTAAGAATATATCTCTTACCAGATGGACTGGGGGTGGCTAGAGGCCCGACTAAGTCGATGGCTACCCGGCTAAACGGCTCTTCGATAATGGGCATGTTAACGAGGTGGGCCTTGGGGTGGTCTCCTCTCTTGCCTACCCGTTGGCAGACCTCACACGTGTTACAATAGGTCCTCACATCTGCATGTACCCCTGGCCAGATCAGGGTATGGGTAATGTGGTGAAGGGTACGGGTTACTGCCAAGTGTCTGGCTAAGGGAATATCGTGGCCCACCCGGAGGATATCTCGTCTATATTTGTGGGGTATAACTAGCTGTCTCCTCCGGTGGCCCTTCTTCTCTGTGTGTCGGTATAGTCGGCCCTGTTCCCATGCAAATGTCTCCTGGTCTGATCCCCCAGTCCCTGTATCAGCCCTTTCCTTATACTTCTGGAGCGTCGGATCAGTTTTGGTCTCAGCCTCAAAGGCTGCAGAGGTGTCCCAGGGTAAGGGGGCAGGAGGGGTGGTCACAGTCGGGTTAAGTCTTACCTGAGTCTCCCGCACTGGTGAAGGTTCTCGAACTCGCCCACCTTGGGACCGGGTAGCCACTGGATGTGCCTCAGAGTTGTAGGAAGGTGCATAGGCTGAAGTCATGGGTCCCAGGTCGTTTCCCAGCAAAACTTCAGCCGGTAAGTTATCCATAATCCCCACCCTCACAAGTCCTTTCCCCGCACCCCAATCCAAATGTACCTTCTCTGTGGGTAGTTTGTATATGACCCCTCCAGCCACCCGAACTGCCACCGTGTCAGTAGAGCGCTTGTGCTCAAGGTGATCGTGGCCCAAGTGTCTCTTAACCCCTGAGTGGGATGACCCTCCAGTAGCACTTCTTGCCTGTGATGTTGCCTATTGTCGCTGGCGGCATAAACAGGGTTAGCTTCATGTAGGGGTCCCAGGTATTCCTCTAAAGGGCTGTCCTACTCGAGGCAAAAAGCTCTGGCTGGGCGATTATTTCCCGTTGGAGACAAATTATAGTTCCGTGTGGGGTAGTTATTGTTGAGGGGGCAATTAGCAATCAGGTGCCCCGGTTGCTTGCACTTGTAACAAGTGGGACGGGAGTGCTCCTGGTTGTAGTGGCTGGGTGGTCCCGTGTACCGTGTAGGTCCCACTGGTACAGGCGTGCGAAACTCCGTTCGTGGGGTTGTTCGGTACACCTCTCGTGTTTCGTGGCGTGCTATCGTTCGGGAGTTACTGAACTCCTGAACCTGAGCATCCCGGTGTTCATCCTTCAGCCTTGCTGCTTCATGTAGGTTAGCGGGACGTCGGTCTTTCAACAACTCTCGTTTTTTCTGTTCGAGGCCCTCATAAAAATGTTCTAACAAAAATAGTTCTAATATTTCCGCTGCTGTGATGGCCCGACACCCGGTAATCCAATGTGTAGCAGCTCTCCGCATTCGGTGGGCCCATTCGGCATGGGTATCATTCGCCTTCTTTTTTGTATTGCGAAACTGTCTTTGGTAGGTGTCCGGGGTCACAGCGTACCGTTTCAGTAGCGTCTCCTTTACTGTGGGGTATTGGGCTACTTCTTCGGCGCTGAGTGTCCTGAAGGCTTCCATGGCCCGCCCGGTTATCTTCCCTGCCAGGACACGTGGCCACGCTGTGACGGGTATTTGATGTAGAGCACATTGTCTTTCGAAATTGGCTAAAAACTCATCTATCCCCATCTCGTTCTCCACGAATGGCTTGAATGCCGTGAACGGAATTTTCGGCTGTTCCGCAGGTTCCGGGGAGCCGTTGTGGCCATTAGCGGCGGCTCCCTGCTGTGCGGTCACCATGTTGAGTTCGTGGGTTCTAGCCCGTTGTATGTCTGCCTCAGCCTCTGCCATCAGTTGCTGCACCAGCTCTACGGAGGGGTTCAGCCCGTATAGAGTAAGTCTTTCCCGGACAATCCTCGTCTTTTCGTTGCTGGGGGTTATCGTTGGTTCTGTCATGGTGAAGCTTTGATCCAACTCGTTTAGGTCGGCAATCAATTCTCTCCTTGGCCGGTTACTTGCATTTCCCCCTCGGCTCTCAGGTAAATCCTTTAGCGTGGTACGTTTCAGCTTATCGTAGTTGCTCTCCATCCGTCCTATATCTCTCTCAGGAATTCCAGGATGATCCCGCCGCTGCCACCAATTGTTACGATTGCCCCCGGTCTAGCAGGGGGGTTGATCGCTTGGAGGTCCTGGTTCCCGCTGTAGAGAGTCGAAGGGAGGTCCTTCGGTAATAAGCTGCAAGTGTAGAATATCCCAAACACGGTATAAGCATCAATATCCCGGATCCCTACAACATGAGTTGAGGCTGCAAGTTGAGGGTCAAAACAAACTGGCTTTACTGGCACACAAACATGGCAATCTATGCGATTCCTCAGGTCCAAGGACAGCCCCCTGTGGACCTGATGGAATACAGGTACAGTACAAACAGGTAACCAATCACAGTACAGTGTATCATTTGAATTAGTACCCGCCCAGCTTGGAGATAATGAGGCCAACAGTTATACAATCTAATTATCTCCAAGCGCACAAAAGACCACATTTTATTATGCCTCATAAAACTGTATAAAAATACATAACTTTAACATCAATAGGGGAAAACAGTTCATTCTACCATTCATTCAATAGCTCACGTTCGGGAACATTAAACATACGAATGGCGCTCCAATCCCACGAACAGAATGATCTATTTCTGCCGTATAAAGTCCGTTCAGTATTTTTGATCGTGAGTCCCTGATGGCGGCCATGTTTTTAGACGGTTTAACGAGCAGCGGGACCTCGCCTCCAACTTATGGAACTAAACTCGGGTATAAGATCATGAGAATCCCCGCTGTCTGTCTGGTAGTGGAACTCGTTCGGTACATGAACGAGGACCACCTGGTAGCATGGTACTTGAGTTGCGGTTAACCGCAGAAACCAAAGGCTAATTGCTGGCACACGACCCACTGTAGGGGGTCTCCGTTCGTGAGGTTATTCGGTAGGTTCCCTTCGGTGATTTGTGGGCGAACGTCGATCCTCCAGGCCAGTCGATTAGTCTGTGGTTAACCGCAGACCGCAGCCGCCTGGATGGTTAATGGGTGCCACACTCCGCTGGTCGGGTGGTCGACCATTCGGTACTTTGCGGGGTGAAGAGGTTAATTGGCAGCACACGCCAGCGTTTGGGGGGTCTCTCGTTCGTATCACGAATGGGTCTTTATAAGAATTCGTATAATCCATTTGTGTTTCCTCGTGTTAAACGTATAGGGTTGTAACAGTAGCAACATGTAATAACAATAATGGAGTCATTTTGAGTCTTTTGTAACAGTGGTGATTTTAGGAGTTATATAAGGCTTGTTGTCATTAGCTTGTCTAGTATAGCTTGGTGCTACTTCTAAGTGCTGTTTCTAAGTGTGTAGTTGGAGATATTCTGGAGAGTTTTACAGAAGCTTCAACTGTCTAAGAGTTGTGCTAAGAGCTTTCTTTTCTACTGTTACAGGTAAGATTCATCTGTAGGAAAAGGTTACTGATTGCACAAAGTTTGAATTCCTGTTGGTAATTATAAGGCATTTGATTTGATTAAGCTAGTTACTTGCTATTGATTGCTGGTTAATTAGCTATTGTTTGCAAATAAGCAGAGGCCTTC